CCTCTGAACTTTTTCACCATTAACCAACAAGCTGAAAACTATTAATTTCATGTAGTTTCCTGATACTCACTAAAACACTTCATTAATTAAAACGTTCTTTGGTTCAGCCTGTGTCAAGAAATTAGTGAATCACACAACAAATATAGTTAATTTAGTCATAACAATGAATGAATGAATGTTTATGTATATAGTGCTTTACACAACCCAGAGGGTGACCAAAGTGCTTAACATTAAATTATTATTATTATTTGTTTATTTGGTTGTTTATTTATTTATTTATTTTGGTCATTTAAAAGGAAAAAGAAAGAACACAGTAATACAGAATCTCGATTATAGTAACCAAAAAGGTGTAGGCTGAAGCCTAGCTTTTTATGCCTACCCTGTTTACTCAATCACATTACTTCTCAAAAAAAATGACAATAATAAGATAAAAGTAATGTAATAATAATAATGAGAGTGAGATAAAAATAATATTTATGATGATAATTGAAATATAGTGAGCAACAAAAACCATAATTCAGCAAGAGGAAAAATACCCAGAACTAAAGATAGAACTATACAAAACTACCAGTAATCTTAATAAGTCAATGTATGATAATGATCAAAACAGAAATTTAAATACTATAACTTGTGCAAGAACATTACATTTTCATTCACATCTATCAGATACACTAGCTCGCATACGGTCGTTATGGCAGTATGACATCATCTTCTTGATGTACATTTTTTAAAATTTGACTCCTACTGTTGTGCAACTCTGACTTCTAACATTTGTTCTTACTTTCTCTCTGACAAATTGTCCTTCCCCCTTAGTTCATACTGAGTTTCTTTGACCTGGAATAGCTTCTGAATACAATCCGGAAATATTTTATTTTGTAATTTATAGAGTACTTGTGCTGTTTTTAGTTTGGCCAGATCTGTAAATTTAAGTATTTTTAGTTTTATAAACAGGGTTGGTGCATGATAATCAGAGTTGGTAATTACTCTTAATGCTCTTTTCTGTAGTAAAACTATGGGTTTTATGTGAGATTTGTAAGTGTTTCCCCAGACCTCCAGACAGTACATCATATGAGGAAGCACTGATGATTGGTATAAGAGTAATAATGATTTTCCATTTAGAATATGTTTTGATTTATTTAACACTGCAATAATTTTAGACATCTTAGTTTTAACATTTTCTATGTGCGGCTTCCAGCTCAGCCTTTGGTGTAATGTGACACCCAAGGATTTAATTTCACTTACTCTTTCTATTTCTACCCCCTTTATTATTAATTTAGGAAGATTGTTTTGTTTTTGTTTTCCAAATATAATGTATTTAGTTTTACTTAGATTTAATGATAATTTGTTACTGTAAGACCAGGTCTTTAGTATTTTTAGTTCACTTCCAACTATATTCAATAGTTGTTCTATGTCTTTCCCTGTGATATACATATTGGTATCATCTGCAAAGAGGATGTAGTTCAATTGATTGGCTACTTTATTGATGTCATTTATGTAAAGTGTGAATAACTTGAGTCCTAACACTGAACCTTGAGGTACCCCACAGTACACTTGTTTTGTTGGTGATTTTACATTTAGGATTTCTGTGAATTGTTGTCTTCCTGTTAAGTAGCTTTTTAACCAGTTATATGCTGTTCCTCTTATGCCATATTTATATAATTTGGTTAGCAGGGTATTGTGATCTATTGTATCAAAGGCTTTCTTGAGATCTAAATAAATTCCTATTGTATTATTTTTATTATCAATCGCTTTAGCTATTTCCTCTACCATGCTAATTGTTGCCATAAATATGGAAAGAAGGGAAAAAAACAATTAAAACCCCCGTAAAAAAGTTAATAACCAGAGCCAGTTTAAAACTATTTAGGACATATTTAAAAGTAGTACAAATAAAACCAATGCAAAAGAATTTGAAAAGTCACTTTAAAATTGTAAAAAGAATAATCACTTAAGGATTTTCAAAAGCCATACAAAAGAGGTGCGTCTTTAATCCAGACTTAAATAAGGTTACATCAGTAGTCGTGCATAGGTGAAGTGGGAGTCAGGGGTGGACATTAACTTCAAAACCAACCGGCCAGCCGGGCCGGTAACTCTGAATATTTACCAGCCCCACCAAGAATCTACCGGCCCCGCTGGTCAGCTGCCAAAACGAGTCAAAATAACAACTGAACAGTTTTAAATGTAATAAACCTTTATTTTGTACACATTCACAAACATAATAACGTATTCAAGTTTGAATTTGTTTGTTCCCTCAACAAAACACGATTTTGTCGTCGCATACTTCCGGCATACAACGCAGTGCATCACCAACTCCGCTTTGCTGTACTCAAGCCATCGGCTGTGTTCGAGATGAGCAAGTTCTGCGCAGATTAGACCAGCGGTGATCGGCGAGCGGTGCATGCCGGTTAGATTTGTGTCCGAATTGACGCCGACTTGCTCTGACGTCATGCATACGTAGGCAACGATAACCTCGTGAGATCAAGGTGGCCGCAGATTTTGGAGCAAGGCGCTGCAGTTGCTCTCCCTCGGCTGCAAAACCTAGAGGATGATGGGAAACGCCTGGCTCTCACCTGATCTAAGATCTGATTGGTTCATATTTTGATCCAAACATCCGGTGGTAGAACATGAAATGTTAGTTGATCACATGTATTCTGTAAATCATGTTACGTTGATGATGACAACAATATAGGCCATAAAGAGAAATGTGTTTTGTTTTCTTTTGTCACGTTTCTTCTTTTGGCACACTGAAGCTACACCTGATAACCTTTACTTATTATTACAGTCATGTTTTCATATAGAATACATGATATCCACAAGCACGTGAGGATGTTTCAGCTGCTAACAGGCACCAGAATTAAAATTGAACAATGCAGGAAAATCCAAGAGATTCAACTGGCAGAAACAACTGGTTCACACCATAGGTTCTCTCTCTCTCTCTCTCTCTCTCTCTCTCTCTCTCTCTCTCTCTCTCTCTCTCTCACTCTCTCACACACACACGTAGAGGAAAAGAGCTGAGAAAAGATAGAGAGGAAATGGAGGACAAGTTAAAAGAAAAACTACAGCTGAGCCGAGGCGCGCCTCGAATGGGGCGCGTCTGATCTGAACTGTGGAGTGGCGAGCAGCTGCCGGATTCCGTGAGCGATTCGCTTCGGGCGCTTCCGCGGCCGGTGTGTCCCCGGCGTTAAACGCCGGCTTTCAGCCACTCCCCCGCTGCTTCCGCCTTCTCTCGCCTGTTTTCCAGGCGATGCGCTGCTCAACTCGAACACGGCCATTCTCTGTGCCTCCCGTCTTCTTTAAACCGCCAAGAATCATTCCACCTACGCACACGCTTCTCTGCTTCATACCGTTTCGAACTGTCTCACTTCTCCTCACCAGTTTTAAAGCGTTTTGCCGGAGATTTCATCAAGAAATCCCATCCCTGTGGTGGCGCGATCTCCCTGCGTGCTTGTGTGTTTCTAGCGTGGTTCCACTTCGTCTTTAATAGTGAACTTATAGTTCACGTAACTACAACTAGAATGTGCAGTACGTGCACGAATCGTACAAGTGCATTATGGCTAGAGGCGCGCAGGTTCACGCGCGCGAAACGAAAACGGCAACGGCGGCTTCCTACAGGGCGGGGCCATGATGTAGGTGAAAGCCGGTGTGTAAATGACAAATAAGGCTTGGGCGCCACCCGGGCGGTAAGTCGTCAAGTATTTACCGCCCGACGAGAAAATTTAGCGCCAATGGCGCTCGGGCGCTTTAAAGGTCCACCCCTGGAGTTTGTTCCATAGCTTCTCCCTTTTGTGGCAACGATCTAATGACCTATAACAGAAGACATCTGCTTTCTCATGTGCATTTTTTTCCCAAAACGAGGAGCGGACGGTCTTCCGCTAAATCTTTAAAACATTGTTTGCACGTCTCTGAACAACGTTCTAACATTGTATATCTATAAATTTATTGTAGAGATTTAAATAAATAAATAAATAGTAAAGCAACCACTGGACCATCTGTCTCACCAAACCACAGCACTTCCCCACCTCCCAGGGTCCTCCACTCATTACACACTCACGTACTGTAGCAACAGAACACCACTGGTGTAAGATGTTGTCCGTTCAATAACATCAGAGAAGGAGAAACAGCCGGCTTCTACCACTTCAACTTTAGGACAAACTACCACAGTCCCAAAATGAAAAACATAGTTTGAAGTCATGGACAACAAAATACATTTGAACTTAGAAAACTGTGACTGGTGTTTAGCGCTATCTCGTTTCCTCTGGCAATACAGGTTTCCTGTTCCAGTGAACGCCGATCCAGGGTGAGTGTTCCATGACCATGTTTGTTTCTAAAACTAGCTTGTTCTTTAGATTCGCTATACCATTGTTAAAACAGCACAAATGACTGTTCCATGATTTAATCCTATTCAAAATAATTTTTGCATAATTAACATGATTGGTACTGATTACTTTGATGGATGGATCTGATTTGTTATAATAATAATAATAATGCATTGAACTTATATAGCGCTTTTCTAGACACCCAAAGACGCTTTTCACACACTCTCACATTCACACACTGCTAGTGATGGTAAGCTACTTGTAGCCACAGCCGCTCTGGGGAGGTCTGACAGAGGCAAGGCTGCCATTTGGTGCCATCGGCCCCTCTGACCACCACTAACATAGGCAAGTTGGGTGAAGAGTCTTGCCCAAGGACACAACAGCAGGATACCCCTGGTGGGTGCTGGAATTGAACCCATGACCCTCCGATCATGAGGCAACCCGCTCTACCACCTGAGCTATTGCTGCCCCATGTTATAAACGTGATATCACTGTAACACTCAGTGTGATGGGACTCTATGTTAAAATTGTTTCAGTAAAAACAGCTAAAAATAAACTGGAGAACTGTTTGAACAATCTCAGTTTGGATAAACTAGACTGACAAGCTAACAGCTAGTCTGAGCAGAGCCAAAATGTTAAAGTGTCTTAAAACGAGTTAATCCTCAAAATTAAAATAAAGTTGCACACCGTGATTCAAGTCTCTATTCCTCCAGGTTTCTCACATCAGGGGTGAAGTTAATGGGTCGGTCTGTCGTCCAGCTCGATACCGTCTCCTGTCCAGTCTCAGTTCATCTCCTGGACCCTGGGGACACTCTTTCTCAGCTCAGAACAAACCTTATCTCTAGAGGTTGAGCTGTACCCTCGCTGTTCCTCTGAGACTCTCTCTCTCTCTCTCTGTTCTTTCCTTTTATAGCTTTCTCCTCAGGGATTGAAACCAACCTCCACCCCTCTTGGTGTCATTGTGTACAGAAATGAAAAGGCCACAGAGTGCTGCTTGTATTTAGTGTACCTGGAAAATCAAGACAGCCTTGAACTGCGTGACTAGTTAATGCGTTCATTATCTGAACAGCTCAAGTTTCAATGACTTTTGCCCCGTGCACGGTCGCTGTTGTGAAAAACGACGCTAGCTTGAACAAGCGGCTGACCTTTTCTCTCAGCATGGGTCCAGCCTGAACCACATCCTGTCACAGTCACAAGCACTAGACACAAACTAGATTAAATTATCAGAACCACAACTCATCTTTAGTGAACTAGATTTCATTTTATCTTGTTTGATCATATTTGTTTTTTTAGTAGCAAAACTTTGTTTTCTCTTCAGTTTATTAACATATTCTGTTGTGTTTTTCTAAAAGCATGACACAAAAAGAGTAATCAAGTTGAAGAGATCTAGAAGTACACCTGACTAGAGGTAAGCTGCACATAAAGCTTTCTTTTGACAGTTTCAATAGTGAATAAGTCACAACTCTGCAAGGTCAAAGGCAATTATAAAGTTTATTGCCTCATTTATTGCAAAACATGTACAACCTTACATAGCTTGTCTCTCAGTTAAACCAAACTGGGAGGGCCACCAGTTACCACCAATATTGTAGCCTAATAGATATATTTTATTCTCTAATTTCTTTAAAAAATCAGACAATGTGATTTTTCTGGAATTCCATCCATTTATCTATCCATTTTCGGCTGCTTATCCAGAGTCGGGTTGCAAGGTAGCCTAAGCAGGGAGGCCCAGACTTCCCTCTCCCCAGCCACTTGGACCAGTTCCTCTGGCAGAATCCTAAGGCATGCCCTGACCAGCCGAGAGACATAATCCCTCCAGCATGTCATGGGTTTTCCTTTAGGCCTTCTCCCGGTTGAACGTGCCTGGAAAACCCTGAGATACTTAACCCTTCCACTTTCCTATCAGGTGACCCCACCAGGACAGGGGGCGGTTAAACAGGGTTTAAAGTTTATGCCGTGGCACGGATGAAGTGATGCACCCCTTAAAAAATATTGAAATAAAAAATAAAAATACACCAGATATCCATCTGACCCCATTAACAATGTGGGAGAGTTAAACTCCTCCATTTGGGACAGGACCTCCTCCCAGACCTGGAAAAGGCATTCTACCCTTTTCCGATTTTTCTGGATTTGTTTTTCATTTTGTCCCTCATAGTTGAGGTATAGCTATATTACATACATTACTACATTACAGGCCTCTGGGAGAACTTACACAATCAGAGGCTGACTAAATACTGTAAAATGGTAAATTATCTGTAATTATGTATTACCTTGTAGAGTTCTACAACCCCCCAAGGTGCTTTCCTAATTGTTTACTCATTCACAGTGGTGATGAGCTACAATGTAGCCACAGCTGCCCTGGGACACACCAACCGAGGCGAGGCTTCCGAGCACAGGCGCCACTGGTCCCTCCGACTACCACCATTTGGCAAGGAGGGTGAAGTGTCTTCCTCAAGAACACAAGACAGCGAAATACTGATCGGGATGAGAACCTGCAACCCTCCGGTCACGGGGCAGGCACTTACCTCCTCTACCACCATCACTCCAAGTAAAAGTAAAAAATTTGAATCAAACAGGTTTTTATTTCCTCATCTCATACTTCCTGTTTTGTTGCTACTGATACATGAAACAGACCATAATATTTTCATGTCCCTCATTTTATTTTTGTTGTCTGCAGGATGTATTGCTTTCAATGATGCAACTTGGAGTTACACATTATGTTTCCACGATGATGATGCAAAGCTTAGTGCATGAAAGCAAATACATCAACCTGCATTATTCTGTTTTAAATGTTCATCTTCATGTGTTATTACTCATTAAACACAAATGGAACACGAATGTTGAGTTTAGCTTCGCAGTTCATCTGTTAAATATAGAGTACTATTATAACATTTATAGTATGGAAGCGTTTGTTTACAGCTCCAAGATGACCCTAATCTGAATTATTTAATCTATATTAAATCATTTTTAAATATGAGAATGGTGCATCACATAACCATCATGTAGAAGAGTTCAAAGATAAAACTGTAATACTACACACACTTCTCTGTTTAATATTCTCCACCACAGCTGAATGACTGCAAAGGGCTCAGCAGGGAACCCGACGCAGAATTAAGGAATGAGAACAAGTCTGATCCACTTACAAACATCCATAACCCAATCCTAAACCAGAAGCGGGGCTTTCTGTACTGTAAATACTGCTAATGATATCTCTGGAATCATCAGAGGAATTATTTAATCAGTGATTTTTCTTCCAAAGCCTCTTGGTCATCTTGTGAATGATGCTTTTGATGATTAGAATAATAAAAAGGCTCATATGCAGCCTAGATTGTGATATAACCTTTTTGTGATGCATTTCTGAGGTGGGACAACAAAGTTCTTAAACAAGTTCAATTATGAAATTGTCACGAATCGCAGTTACCCAAACACAGTCAAACATTAAACACTTTCAGGATCTTTTGCCTCTTTGTTAAGATAATTTTACTTCCTGTTTTGATTTAAAGTTTTAAAATGTAACATTTGCCCCTAAATTTTGGAGCCTAAACAAGACTCCTGTCTTTTCCCGCTCCTCTTGACTTTGTTATCTACTCATCCCATCTCCTATTTGCTCACTTCTACCCTTTCTCTCCTCTCATGCCATATTTCCTCCTTTTCCTACCTCCATGTCTGGCAGAGTCCAGCTCCTCTCGGCTTCACCCCTCGACCCCCACAGGCTAAGCATTTGGCACCTCTGACTCAGACAGTATGTCTGTGACTGGTGAGTCTAGGGCAGAGAGGTGGCGGTCCAACTCATCCCCACCATGATCTGCCAAATACTCCCATAATTCATAACTTGAGTGCAGAGCACCTGTTTCCTCTGGCGTTAGCAGCAAATGAGGCCGGAGCTGGACAGTATGGCGAACACTGGGAACCGATTACTGGGCCAGCAGGTGGGAGTTGACTCTCTGTTTTTGGATTCATGGAGACATAAACACCAGTAGAAGTGGGTTTTGGGTGTTGGTGGAAGAACACCACAGCAGCCATGCTAACCTTGGATCTGAAAAATTATGTTATGACCTCATTAAAAACTCTCATTATGAGCTGAATCTGAGCCAAGAGGTAGTTGTTCTGCTGTGATTTGACTTCAGTCTGTGCTGAAACTGGTCTGATGAACTTCAAGATTTAATTGAAAGCAAAAACAAGATGCTAATACACTCAACAAAAATATAAATGCAACACCTTTGTTTCTGCTCCGATTTTTCATGAGATGAACTTAAAAATCTAAAATTCATTCCAGATACACAATATTACCATTTCTCTCAAACATTGTTCACAAATCAGTCTAAATGTGTGACAGTGAGGACCTGTGTTTTGCTGAGATAATCCATCCCACCTCACAGGTGTGTAGAGCTGAAACAACTAATCGATTTAATCGATTATAATCGATTATTAAAGTAGTTAACAACTTTTTTAGTCATTGATTAGTTGTTTAATAATGACATTTTACCGCATAAAGTCTATTTTTACCACAATCTGACATCGGTTACAATCTGTTAAATTTGCCGCCAGTGTGTGGCAGTAATGAGCCACTGATCTACCAGTGGAGCCGTAGAAGAAGAAACGAGCCAATAAGTGCCCTCGGTTTTCGTGAAGTAACACGTTACTGACGCTCATCTTGCTTTGAGAGATGGCGGAACAAGAAGAAATACGGAAGAAAAATAGAAGCGACAAAACAGAAGAGAAACCCCGGACAAAAACCTCACGAGTATGGGAGCAGAAAATAAACAAGCTAAATATACTACACGCAGATCAAATTTGGGACTTAGTGTTTTAGCTGAGTTCGTTATAGTGGATGTTAAACATGCTTTTTTGCCGCGTCAGTCTACAGTGTTCTACTTCTGATTGACTAGATGCAATCGTGAATCTCCTCCGTGTTGTGAATCATGCGCTTGCCAAATTTAGCACGTCGGTTTATGAGAATGTTCTCGTTAAGAGAAAAACGGCACAAACCCATAACTATGTTCCTCATTCAAAAAAGGACAACTCCGCGGTGAAAAATATACAGACGAGCTGTGTCCAGGTGAATGTAACGCGGCATAGTTGTACGCTTTCAATTTTTAAACACAGGAGAAATTCAGAAAGTCATGTTTTTACTATTAAAAGGCTATTCTACTATCTAACGCTGTAAAACGCCTCACAACACACTTTTATCATGTTTCTTAAACAGTATTACACAAAATAAACATTTTTCACATTTCTCTAGCTAATTTAAACACTCCCGACTCAAAGTAAAAACCTCATGAGCTTCTTACTTAGAGCTTTTTAATAGTAAAAAAAATTTGACTTTTTTTCTGAATATCTCCTGTTGCGGGCTTTTTTGTAGAACGTAACCCTCAAAATAAATTATCACTGTATATTGTTAATTAATTCAAATAATATAATATTGATTTAGTGTTGTAGTGTTTGTGCTGCTTTATTTTATATGTGTACTTCTTTCAGTCAATTTGTGTTTCTTATGCAGAAAAAAACAAGCAACGATGGACAACTACATGGGGAACAAGACACTCACCCCCAGCAATGCATACCACTTACAAACTCTATTCTAAACATGCTGGTAAAAGACATGAGGCCACTATCCATGGTGGAAGGAGCAGGCTTCCAGCTAATGCTAAAAAATTATTCTGGACTGATATTTTGCACTGTTTAGCTCATTTTACACTGCTGACTGTTCATGTGCAATAAAATAGATTGCTGTCAACTGCACAATTCTCTTATGTTTTTTTTTTCTTAACTGAAATGCATTCATCACTTGTATAGGTTAAATAGCTAAACAATAACAAACCGATTAATCGATTAATCGAAAAAAATAATCGAAAGATTAATCGATTATGGAAATAATAGTTTGTTGCAGCCCTACAGGTGTGCCATATCAAGATGCTGATCTGACATCATGGGTAGTGCACAGGTGTACCTTATACTGCCCACAATAAAAGGCCACCCTGGAATGTGCAGTTTTTTTGCTTTATTTGGGGTCTGGGGACTCAGAACCTGTCAGTATCTGGTGTGACCACCATTTGCCTCATGCAGTGCAACACATCTTCTTCGCATAGAGTTTATCAGATTGACAATTGTGGCCTGTGGAATGTTGGTCCACTTCTCTTCAATCGCTATGCAAAGTTGTTGGATATTAATGGGAACTGGTACACGCTGTCGTATATGCCAGTCAAGCACATCCCAAACATGCTCAACAGGTGACATGTCTGGTGAGTATGCTGGCCATGCAAGAACTGGGACATTTTCAGCTTCCAAGAATTGTGTACAGATCCTTGCAACATGGGGCCATGCATTATTTTGCTGAAACATGAGGTGATGTTCATGGATGTACGGCACAACAATGGGCCTCAGGATCTCATCACGGTATCTCTGTGCATTCAAAATACCATCAATAAAATGCACCTGTGTTCTTCGTCCATAACAGATGCCTGCCCATACCATAACTCCACTTGGAATGAATTTTAGATCTTTAAGTCCATCTCATGAAAAACCAGAGCAGAAACAACTGTGTTGCGTTTATAGTTCTGTTCAGTGTAATTTCTTCTAGAAGTTAATAAACTACTAAACATTACATTAGGCACCGACGCTATGATGGAAGACACTTCCGGACCTTTCTGCAATGACACATTTATTGCTTAACAAGTCTTTTTTAAACCAAAAGGTCAGTTGAAAACATATCAGACGAAAGCCTTTGATGTCAAAATTTGGTTAAAAGTCATGTTTTTGTCTTTTTGAAACTCAAGTTTTATTGTAGAAGTAAAACAGTGAGTTTGAGCTTTAAGCTTGTGCTAATATGTGGATCTCCACTGCCTCCATAAACACTCCAAACATTCAAAAAATCCCATCCATCTGTTTTCTGTCAAGGTTTGGTTTTAGGGATTGTGTGAGTAAAAAGCTGTTTCAAAAAGTCCCTGTTTGTGATGCCACAAACAGGGAATTTATAATAGAGCAACCCCTCACCTTCAGGAGATAAGCTGCTGCTGGAGGAGCAGCGGCTATACCCTGAGCAACCCCAACCCCAAGCACCATCAAACAGTACGTACCAAATAAGCTGTGCTGCAGCGTTGTTGCTGTTCATTCCTTTGGCCATTGCTTCACTCCTGCCAGTGTTTCCTTACTATTTGTGTTGCTAAATGCTAACCCGAAGAATACCGACACGAAAGGGCACATGTTGCCACCTACTGTACCTGAGTAGTACGCACTTCATTCGTTGCCACCTACTGTACCCGAGTAGTACGCACTTCATTCGAGAGTTGTTGTTGCTTGTTTTGTAAAAACTCTGTAAGGTTATGAATTCCCCTTTTGTCACTTTCCAGAGTGAACTTTTGAAATTTCTTGTTCCTGCCTTGCAGCTTGTTTTGTACCAGCAAAAAAGAATGAATGGCTTCCTCCAAGTGCAGTTTTGACCGATCAGCTGATCAGTCAGAACAAATTTGGCCTTTAGGCTGGATGCTTTCTGGAAAGAGGAGCTAAAATGGAGCGTTCTAATCTAAACCTGGCATGAACTGTAGTACAAAGAAAATAATACTTTTTTATTTTTACATAAACAATGTAAAGTCCAAAAGATAGATTACTGCACTGATGCAAGAGTATAATGATTTTTGTTGATGTTCACCCTCACAAATACTTCATTTAATGCACTAAAAAGAATATAACTCCTTTTTCCACCAGTAAAATATGCAGATTTGGCCATGGCTAAGGCCCATTGTCTTTATTATTTAATTTACACGTATTAGCAAATCTCTGAGCACCATCTAGACTGTCCTTGTCCATCTGAGAGAAGATATATGTTGAGTGAAATGTTTACACCCTCATGTAAGCTGTCTGGTTGTTACAGTGCACTCAAGAGAAATGAGCTGAATAAGCAGCTGTGAGTAAAACGTCAAGTCTCTTCAAAGTGAAGCGGCGACTGAACCTTTCTGAAGGCTGTCAGAACTCAAATAATAAACATGGGAATTGTTTCGGCCCACTTAGTGTACCGACAGGGAGGTAGGTGACGTTACAAATAACACTGCAATTCTGGGAATTGAAAGTAAAGGATTTGACTGGCTGTGTGTTTTGAAGACTTCTGCCTTTTATCTGAAAGAATGAGAAATTTCTAAAGGGTTAAAGAGTATAAGGATAAGGTCAGGTCATTTGTTAAGCTGGTTTCAGCCAAAGCCAGGAAATTAGAGGTAATACTATTTAAGTCTGGCACCTTGTTAAAAATAGAACTCTCACCATTCTGCATGTGAATATTCATTCCTCACATCATGCTAAATATGTGCAATTGAGTTTTAAAAATTTATACCAGTGACGACACCTTAAGATCTGATTTCCATTTCCTAAGACCAAAATACTCACACAGTCCTGATCAGAATTAGGACTGCATACATTTTTACCAGAGTTGTACTTATCTGTATAAAATACATTAGATAAAGTATATATATATATATATATATATATATATATATATATATATATATATATATATATATATATATATATATATATATATATCTTTTTTTCATGTCCTGTCTGACTGTGAAGCAAACAGAATTAATGTCTGAATGCTGGCGACAAGCCTTACAGATTTACTCTCAGGTGAGGCATCAAAGCGTCTGCTTTTAATGTCACGCCTGATACTTAAAACTTTATTATTACTGTTTGTTGCATGCTTTGTAATTCGGACCAGACATGGAGACAGAGGTGAAAGAGAAATGAAGACACAAAAGGGGGAGGGGGTCCCCAAAAATAAACAATCAATGATGAACAAGAGTCTGCTTCTAGGCCTGCAGAAAAGGGATATGCAACAATACAACAGGAGCAAGTTATCACTGTGTCAACTTGATGAAGAAATATAAAATCAACAGTGTTTTACTAAACAATAACACAATAATAAATCACAGTGCATTTAGTGCCAACCACAGCCTTAAGACATGTGTTGAATGTGCCCAAGTCCATACTTATGAGAGCACTATGTGAGCACCTGTGTGTGCACACGCGCTTGTATATGTAAGGTTTCTCTATAGGTGCGTCCAATAGAGAGTGTGAGGGGCCACAGATCTGCCCCCCCCCCCTAAAAAAAGATGTGTAGAAGACGGGGGGAGCTCCAAGTCCCAGAGATCTAGGAGCTGCCCCAGAGCACAGGGACCCCAAGGAGACTGCGACCAGAAAAGCCCCTGCCCCCCTCGAGAGGCGCAGAGGATTGCCCCGGGGGGCCACAACCAGCAGCCGGCAGAGTCCCGGGAGATATCAGCGGCAAGCCCACAGGCCTGCCCGCAGCCTCCCACCCCCTAGCCAGCCGAGCCCGGGACCGAGCCACCTGGGACCCAGGGGCGACCACCCCCACCGAGGACCCAGCAGAGCCCAGGGACCCAGATCCCACCAGGCAGTCACCGGGATTGATCAGGCAGATGCCAAAAATCTTAAACCCCCTGACCCGAGAGCCAAGAACACTCAGGCAGACCAAGGCACCACACTCCACACCAGGTGTGATAGGAGGAGGGGAGACGAAGATGTTTAGCATCACAAAAAGTCCCAGGAGAAGGTAGGAGTCAAAGGCCCCACCTGACATATACAGTCATACACAGACATGGTCACACACTCCCTGCCTCATGCTCACACAGACACATACAACCAAAGACTTACAAAAATGCACGCCGGACACCCACTCATGCTCCCCATACACACCCTATTCACTCTGGTCCCGGTACTGCTGCACATAGGGTACAACAATTACCGGTTCCCAGAGTTCGACCCTTTCTGCTGGGGTGCTGATGAGCAGCCTCCCACGCCCAACACCGAGCAAAGCAACCCACCACCCCAGACCCCAACCAGACGGCCAGATCTCCCTCCTAGCCTCCAGCCCCAGGAAGCCAAGCGACAACAGAGGTGTGCTAAGACCCCTAGTCTCCCTCCGCCTGCTCCAATATAGTGTTAGTGCATGTTGATGAGTTGTATTCCATGGCTGTGGTGAGCGGGCATCTTCTGGCCCACGCCAGCTGATGCCACCACACCACCCCACTTGCACCCGCAGCCCTCAGTGTCTAAATGCAATTTAAAATTGGAAGTGGGCACCGGCACTCGGGATGAGGATGAAAAATCCCCCTGCCAAATACCGTTAAATGTGCTCTCTCCCAAGGCCCTAAAGCCTGGTTTATGCTTCTCCGTCAGCTCTGCAAGGGACAGACACGCATGGATTGACGGAAGCGTTTTGCTTTCATACTTCTCCGTCTCCTGGAGAGTGTTGCAAAGCAATTGCCCTGCAGGACAACAGAGGGTGTAGCGCTGTTCTGTGGTATCCTGTCATGTGTCGGTCCAAGATAGTGTGTTTATATTGTGTTTTTTGTGTATATAAGAGACTTTTTAACACGGACATATTTGTCTCTCATTCTCCTCCACTTCATGCGCTCGCCACCTCTAAACCCACGTTTCCTGTCATTTCCGTCCACAAATAAAATGCTTGCTGCACATCTTTTCACTCCTCTAGTCACGCGGAATTAAACGTCATGTTTTTAGAGTTTTTTCGCAAGGTATTTTTCAAGCTTCTCCGTGTCTGCCTCTAGTTATCCTCGGCTCTCTTTATGTTTTTGAGGGCGCAATGGCGGAGCTGTAAACAGCGGCGTCCTGACCAATCACAAGCTTGTGTAATCCGTCTCGTTTGACGGATGTTTAAAAAGGAGAGCTCGACTCCGAACGTACTTGCGTGCCTGCCGGAGCCCTACACAAGGACGGATAATGGCATTGCGTGTCTCTGCACTGACGCAGACGGAGAAGCATAAATCAG